AAAACTTCCTAAAGTTTACCCCATTCTCATGTGCAAAAGAGTAGAGAATTTCAGTTGGTGAAACACATTTCCTCAGTTAGATACGACTTTAAATACTGATGGAGTCTATAAATAAAATTAACGACGCGGAGCTCAGCCTGTCATGTCTTAACTATCCTTGGAGCTCAGTTGATTTTCCCACCGCTTTCTCCCATAGACTCTCCCAAGGATTTTGTTACATGCTCATGAGACTATACCCAGCTTGTTACATGGATGCTGGAATACAAATTCAGGTCCTCCTAGTTGCCACATCAAATGCTTAACCACTGAGCCACCTCACCAGTTTCCTGGATCTGTACTTTTAGAAGAGAAAACTGGGCCAGATAGATACCTCAGCAGTACCAAACCTGATGACCTAAGTTTGATCCCCACTACCCACATGTTAGAAGGGGACAGCTAATTCTTGAAGGTCTTCCTCTGACCTCCAGTTGTGCACCATGGCATGCATGCATACACACACACACACACACACAATTACCTGAAACTAAGCTAGGTAGAATATCTCCCCCCCTCTCCCCCTCCCCCCCTCTCCCCCTCTCCCCCTCTCCCCCTCTCCCCCTCTCTCCCTCTCTCCCTCCCCCCCCCCCCCTCTCTCTCTCTCTCTCTCTCTCTTTCTCTCTCTTTCTTTCTTTCTTTCTTTCTGACAGGGTTTCTTTATGTTAGCCCTGGATGTCCTAAAACTCGATCTGTAGACCAGGCTGGCCTCAAATTCAGAGATCTGCATGCCTCTGTCCCCAAGTGCTGGGATTAAAGGCGTGCACCACCACACCTGGCTCTAGAAAATATCTTTTTAAAGAAGAAAAACTGTCCCAGTTGACTTTTTTGTTTTTTTGTTTTGTTTTTTTTCGAGGCCAGGTTTCTCTGTGTAGTTTTGGTGCCTGTTCTGGACCTCACTCTGTAGACCAGGCTGACCTCGAACTCACAGAGATCCTCCTGGCTCTGCCTCCCAAGTGCTGGGATTAAAGGCGTGCACCACCACCACCACCACCCGGCCTTCTAGTTGACTTTTAGCATGGCTGAATTTGGGAATCCTGTACCACAGTGTGCAGTCTGTTGCCTCCTCAGCGTTTTCACAGTCACAGGTGGGTCCGCTGTACCCAGTGGGACGCTTTGGCTGTCATAAAGAAGCAGCTGCTCTGCTCTCGTGGCTGCTTAGTGTAAAAGTAGCTCCCTTCCAGCCCACACATTAGTGTTTTGATTCCAGAATCCCTGGCAGGGTGCAGTAAGGAAGGGCTTATTCCAGCTCACACTTCGTAGGTGTGTCCCTCACGGTGGGGAAGGCAAAGAGTGATGAATGCTGGTGGTCAGCTAGTGTTCTGCTTTTTATTCAGGCCGAGACCCAGGAATGATATCACCGAGTTAGCATGGGCTTTCCACCTCAGTTAATCCAGCCCAGTCTAAAACTCCTCACATACATGCACAGAGGCATGTCTCCTAAGTGATTCGAGATTCTCTCAGGTTGACAGTCAACATTAACCATTCCCAGTTCCAAGCAGTCTACTGTCCTTGAGATGCTTATGGACTTGAGAAGACTTTAGGAGTAGGTCTCGGTGTCCCAAATTTTTCACACACTCTCTAGCCTTCATACCAGCTTAATGAGGCTGACACCACCATCACCACCATGTTAGGAGCCCAGAAGCTGAGGCTCAGAAGAGCCTGCGGAAGTGATTCATGCCAACTTACACAACCAAGAATGAGGGAGCAGGAATTGCAACCCAAGATTTTATCTCTCAAAATGTGTGTTCTTTCTGCTAAGTCACATTATGAGTGGTTTTCTTTTTTCTGTTATTTCATATTATGTTTTATTTTACTTGATTATTATTAAGGGGTGGTGCATGATACCACAGTACCTGTTTGAGGTCAGAGGACAACTTCCAGGAAGGCGTTCATTCCCTGTTTCCACTATGGGTTCTGGGGATCGAACTTATGTCCTCAAGATTGTGCTTTACTTTGCTAAGTCATCTCTTTACCTCTTTTCATTTCTTTTTATAAACAGTATTGTAGAAAGACTGAGCCAGCCGGAACTCACTGTTCTCTGCTTCAGTTGCCCAAGTGCTGGGGATTACAGGCCTTCACTGTTGTGTCCAGTTTAAAACATTTTTGTTGTTGTTTTTTCAAGACAAGGTTTCTCTGTGTAGCCTGGGCTGTTCTGAAATTCACTCTGTAGACCAAGCCTCTGCCTCCTGTGTGCTGGGATCAAAGGCGTGCACCATCATACCTGGATTTTAACTGTTTAATTTTTAAATATTGTGCGTATGATGTGTGTGAGTGTGCTATGGTACATGTGTGGAGGTCAGAGAACATGTTTCAGGAGTTGGTTATCTCCTGCTGTGGGGTCCAGGACTCGAACCCAGGCTGTCAGGTTTGTACAGTGAGAGTTTTTACTGCTGAGCCATCTGACTGGAGCACATTTTTTTCCTGGCTTTCCCTTTCCTTGCCTTTGGCCCTTGACATTCTGTTGACTTTTAGGGGAATGACTAGATTATCAAAGGACAGGGAGTAGAGAGTATGTCTCCCCTGAAAGGAAGCTGAGAGAACTTAAAATCAGTAGTGTAGTTTGTCTTCTGAGATGTTTTATGGGAAAGTGTTGACTGAGAGAAGGCCACTGTCCCTGTGCTCTCCGAGCTGGCAGTCAGGAGGGCTGTTGTGGAAGGAAGAGCCCTTGCTCCTCAGAGCTGCTCAAAGAACATTCTTGCCCTCTCAACTGCCTGCGAATCCCACAGAGAAGCTGGTTTCCCTTTGGAACCAGAGTCAGGAAGAAGAATATCATTTACAGCAGATGCTATAGAAAAACCATTACCTCAAGGCTGAAAAGTGTTGAAACTCTCTAGAAACACCTGCCCAAAGTGTCACTGTTTTTGTTGTTGTTTTGTTTTGTTTTCTTGATGTAAATGATACCTTTAAAAGGAATGACAGTGGAAGCCGCAGAGATAGCTCATTAGGAGCACTGGCTGCTCTTGCAGAGGCCTGGGGCTCAGTTTTCAGCACCCACAGAGCAGCTCATAACCATCTTTAGCTTCAGCTCCAGGGCATACAACACCTCTTCTGATCTGTGGGCACTGCATGCACATGGTGCAGACAGACTCAGGCACACACACTCATACAGAACAGTCTGCAGCTCTAGTTCAGATGATCTGATGCTGCCTCCTCCTTTTTTCCTTCCCTTCCTCCCTCCCTCCCTCCCTCCCTCCCTCCCTCCCTCCCTCCTTTCCTCTCTTTGTTCTTCTTCCTTCTCAGGATTCGTTCAAACTCCAGGTGTTGGTAGGAGCCCACTTATTTTTATGTCATGTGCATTGGTGTTTTGCCTGCATGTATGCCTGTGTGAGGATGCCAGATTCCCAGAAACTGGAGTTAGACAGTTGTAAGCTGACATGTGGTGTTGGGAATCATACCCAGTCTTCTGGAAGAGCAGCCAGTGCTCGAAACCATTGAGCCATCTCTTCAGCCCTTAATCTCCATGCTTTAGTTTTTTGTTTTGTTTTGTTTGTGAATGAGAAGACTTGATTCTACCTTTAGTTTTTTTTCCCTTGGTTACCAAATGAATTGATTGCCAAAATATCATTGGCTTTTTCTTCTATGCTGCAAGTCCTTCATTCTTTGACTCTGAGTCATTTAGTCAAATTCAGGTGCCTTTTAAATCCTTTGTTATTTGAGTTAAGATCCCACAGTGTTACTGAAAATAAGCAGAATGATTGCTCTTGGATTCCCTGTGCAGTACAATCTCAAGTCATCCAGCACTGCTTCTGTTTACTCCCAGGAATTCACGGCCTCTCCTAACACTGTGGTTTATTGTAACAAGTCTCTCTGTCCCACCAGCCAGCTCCCAAATAACGAGAGACTTCTTATTTAGTATGAAAGCTCGGCCTATTAGGCTTGTTCCTAACTAGCTCTTATAACTTAAACTAACCCACTTATATTAATCTATGTTCTATCACATGGTATTACCTCTCTTCCATCTTGTACCTCCTGTTTCCTCTCCGTGTCTCCAGTGTGCCTCAGTTCTCCTCCTCTTCTTCCTTTCTCTCCCTGGAAATTCTTCCTATACCTCCTGCCTGGCTATTGCCCCTTCAGCTTTTTATTACACCAATCACAGCAATACATCTTCACACAGTGTACAAATGTCCCACAACAGTTTATGACACAATGAACTTCATTTTGTACGTTGTCTTATATATCTCTAGTGCCATCTAGTTGTTAACCTTTCTTTTATGCCCTGGATGAAATTGTAGCAAGCCAATTCTAACTGTGGAAACAGGTTTTTCCTGAGTCACTTTTAACTTATGCTTTCTCAGTGTGGTGGTTTGAATGAGGCTAGTGCATTTGAAGACTTAATTCATAGTCTGTTGTGGAAATGATCACCTGCTCTTGCTAGGCAGATGAGCACTGTATTGGTCGTTTATCGACTGAAGGGTGTCAGCTTGAATTCTAGGTGGAGACTGCTTCATCCTTCAGAGCTCAGAAGCCAGCTGTCTCCCAGCCCTTAGGAAATGAGGTTGAACTACCCTTCCAAAAGTCTACTTTTCAAATAAGTAGTACTTCCTCTCTCCCAATCTCTGCCAGTACCTTTATGTTGAGTGTGGCTGTTGCTCTGTGTCCTTTTTTTTCTGTCATCATTGCTATTTTAATAAGCTTTCTGAAATTTTAAAATGCTACTTGATTGATATGTGTCAGTGACATGATGACTGCATTTTATGTGAGGAATGATTGCTTAAAAAAACTCACTTGGGGCTGGAGAGTTGGCTCAGCAGTTAAGAGCATTGGCTGCTCTTCCAGAGGACCCAGGTTCAATTCCCAGCCCCCACATGGCAGCTCTTAACTGTCTGTAACTCCAGTTCCAGGGGATCTGACCGGCTCACACAGACATACATGCAGGCAAAGTACCAGTGCACATAAAATAAAAATAAATTAAGGGGAGGGGTGGGGGGGAAAAATAAATAAATAAATTAATTTAAAAAATAATTAATAAATGGCTAATTAAAAAACAACAACCACACTTGTGGTGTGTGTGTGTGCTTGTGTGGGTGCACACTTGCACACATTCGTGCACTGTGGCACATGTATGGAGCTCAGAGGCCAACTTCTCAGAGTTGGTTCCCCTTCCTCCATGTAGATTCCAGGGATTGAACCCAGGTGGTCAGGCTTGGCAGTAAAATCTTCACCCAATGAATTATCTTGCTAGTCCCTAAGAATGGCGTCTTGAAAACCTCACACTAGGAAGTTTTAGTTCTACTTGTGGTTGTTTGCTAGTTAAAGTAGCCTGTGACATCATGTAACAGCTATGGGGAAATGTTCACAGGCCACTCTACCAGTTTTAGCATTGGCTGTTTTGTTTGAGCAGGATCTCACTATATAGACCTGACTGGCCTGGAGCTCACAGAGATCCGCCTGCTTCTTTCTCAGGAGTGCTGGGATAGAGGTGTGCACCACCATGCCTGGCTGCTTCTGCTGCTTCTTCCTCCTCCTCTTTGTCTTCTTTTTTTTTTTTTCCCCTGAGATTTATTGACCTGGTGAGAGGTGGTTCTGGAGAGATGGCTCAATGGTTAAAAGTACTAGCTGCTCTTACAGAGGATCCAGGTTTGATTCCTGACACCCATGTGGCATCTCACAACTGTCTGTAACTCCAGTTCCAGGGGACCTGCCCCTTCTTCTGTCCTCTGGGCACCAGCACTTATATCTGCACAGACACGCACAGGCAGACAGAACACTCGTCCTGAAAGTAAAATGTTGTAAACGGGTGTTACAAAGAGGCCGGTGGGAAAGATGCACGAGCGGGAAGGAGCACAGAGGGTCCCGGTGTCCCAGGAGCCTCTCCACTGGCTTAGCACCTAGAGCCTCAAACTCGATTGGGGCTTTCAAACAGATTTCCTTGCATGTACGATGCTAACACACTGCAGTGCAGTCCAGCCAGGCCTCGTTCAGTCTTCCTGGTCCCTTGGCAGCATTCCTACCTCCCAGGAATGGGGCAGGACCTCTTCCCAAATGGAACTCTCATCATCTACTATCAAGTAAGGTAGGCCAGAATATTGCTTTATGGCAGCTCCAATACAGGACAGTTCTATGCCTCAGGTCAGCCAGCAAAAGTTCTAGTTTCTGCTTGAGCGGTGGTGGCGCATGCCTTTAATCCCAGCACTCGGGATGCAGAGGCAGGCGAATCTCTGTGAGTTCAAGGCCAGCCTGGTCTACAGAGAGATCCAGGACAAGCACCAAAACTACACAAAAAACCCTCTGGGGGGGCGGGGAGGTTCTAGTTTCTATGGCCTGAACCAGGTATAAGAACCATGGGCAACAATCAAACCATTTCTCCTATCACAGCAGCCATGAGTGATTGCCTACCTTTTTTTTTTTTTTTAAGCAGTCTTTAATGAAAGCTGTGTAGGACACACCCCTACTCCTGCATCTTCTCAATCGTTTCTTCCTTGTATTTGCCCTTCTCCTTTCCAACTTGTCAAGACTTGGCTTTCCTTTCCAGGATTTTTTTGTGGTCTTTGTCCAGCTTTAGCCTGGTGATAACCACCTTGCTGGGGTGGATGCCCACATGGACGGTTGTGCTGTTAGCCTTTTCTCGCTGCACTCGTTCGATGCAGATGACGTATTTCTTCCTGTACACTTGGACCACTTTGCCAATCTGCTGGCCTTTGTAGTGTCCTTGGACAACCTGAACTTCTTCATCCTTTCGAATGGACATAGACCGAACGTTGTACTTCTGCCTCAGCCGTTTGTGGTTCTTGCTTTGGTCCGAAGTCACAAAGGGATTGAACTTCATTTTTGCGGCTGCGATCCAGCAATGGCCGCAAAAGGAAAGAGCGTGATTGCCTACTTTAATATACAAATTAGTCAATTTTTTTTTTACTATATATACTTTTTGATTGATTAATTAATTATTTTTTAAGAACAGAGTTTCTCTATGTTGCCCTGGCTGTACTGGAACTCCCTATGTAGGTTGGGCTAGCATCAAATCTCAGAGAGATCCACCTGCCTCTGCCTCACAAGTACTAGAATTAAAGGCATGTGCCACCACACCACACCAGGTCCATAGAGCTACATTTGCCATTGTACATTCTATGAACAGGTTATCATTGCAAAGGGCAGGGGTTATATATCTATTGGAAAAGATTGTGGGCTTTCCCTCCATTTAAAATTTTTTTTATGTGTGTGGGTGTTTTGCCTGCATGAATGTCTTTGTACCACATGTGTACCCAGTGCCCAAAGAGACCACAAAGGGTGTTGGATCCACTGGAGCTGGATTTACAGACTGTCGTGAGCCATGTTGTGAATGCTGGAAATCAAACCCAGGTCCTCTAGAAGAGCAGCCAGTGCTCTTAACTGCTGTCTTGGTTAGGGTTTCCTTTCTTTTTTTTTTTTTGTTTTTTTTTTTTTTTTGTTTTTTTTTCAAGACAGTTTCTCTATGTAGCTTTGTGCCTTTCCTGGAACTCACTTGGTAGCCCAGGTTGGCCTCGAACTCACAGAGATTCGCCTGGCTCTGCCTCCCAAGTGCTGGGATTAAAGGCGTGCGCCACCACCGACCAGCCGAGGGTTTCTATTGCTGCAAAGAGACACTATGACCACGGCAACTCTTTTTTTTTTTTTTTTTTTAATTTTTGTTTTAGGAGAAATGGACAGAGAGGAAGCGCATCTCAGTATGTATTGTCCTACTCTGACAACCTGTATCTCTTGCAGGCTTTATTTATACAGAATTTAGTAAGCAGAGATACATTCATGATGTTCCAAAACATAGATCATATCGTTTTTGGTTTTGGACATGTGTATTCACTTCCTTTTGCTCATCTTTTAGTCATCATTAATAAGCTATGACAGAACGGTGTAGCATGAATCTTAAAAGTTCTTATTAATAAAATACCCAAACCAGGTATTGGGGTGAATGCTGAAAGATCAGAGAAGCAGAACAAGCCACAGCCACATCGCCTCACCAATTCCTCAGCTGATCCTGTTTCCTCAGACTGGAAGCCTCTGTGTTCTCATCCAAATGGATCTCAGCTGAACTGCTGCTAAGAGCTGAAAAGCTTAACCAGCTCTAGTTCCTGGTCCTCACACTTTAAATACCTTTCTGCTGTCTGCCATCTCTTCCTGAGATTAAAGGCTCACTTCCTGGGATTAAAGTTGTGAGTCAGGCTTTAAACTCACAGAAATCTGGATGGATCTCTACCTCCCAAGTAATAGTATTAAAGGCATGTGTGCCACCATTTTCTGGCTTCTATATCTAGTGGCTGTTCTGTTCTCTGACCCCAGATAAGTTTATTGGAGTGCACAATATATCAACCACAGAACAGAGTTATCATTTCCAATCATTTTCCCTCAAGTTTTGACATATTAATAAACAGAGTTATCATACTTACTCATTAACCCCATAACCCAATTTTAAGAATCTGGAGGCATATGACAGCCCGTTCTCAGGCTGGTAGCTTTGGTTGCTTCAAGGACATTAGACCAAAACAAAATTTTCAAGGTACCCTGGGCATTTTGCCATGTGACTACGGCAACTCTTATAAAGAAAAACATTTAATGGTGGCATACAGTTTCAGAGGTTCAGTCCATTATCATCATGATGGGGCATGGTGGCGTACAGGCAGACATGGTCCTGGAGAAGGAGCTGAGAATTCTACATCTTGTAGGCAACAGGAACTGATCTGATGTAGCTTGAGCATATATGAGACCTCAAAGCCTACCTCCACATTAACACACTTCCAACAAGTCCACACCTGCTCTAACAAGGCCACACCTCCCCTTACCACCATTCCCTTTGGGGTCCATTTTCTTTCAAACCAACACAACCACTGAGCTATCTCTCTAGCCCCAACGCTGTCGGGTTTTATGTATACCAGTTTTGATGACCCCAATGTCCTTTTACTCAAAAAGCATCTTCATTTGGGCTCTGAGTGGGCAGAGACATGGAGTAGCCCCTGTTTACCCCATTAGGCATGAATCATTTTGTTCTGTAGAGGACTAGTGAGTAGTCTAAACTAGGGTCTTCAGTACCATCCAAGCAGTAGCGGTTCCCTATCCTTAGGAGATACCCTGACACAGGAGAGAGAGAGACAGAAAAAAGCAGAATGCTTGTGTGGTGCAGGCTAGGCTGTGGGTGTCCATGAATGGCAGCAGCACCAGGGCTTCATCTTGAAGGGTGGGATGGGAGTGCCTGAGATTGGGCACTGGAGAGGGGATGATGGTGTTCCCAGGCTTGGAAGTAGGTCTGTCCCCTGACCAGGGTCTGTCAGAAGAGTGGTGAGAGCAGGTCTTAGAAGGAATTGGGGATTGGTATGGTCAATACGATCCACAGTTGGCTGTCATCACATCATTTCCACCTAATTCTGCCAACTCCATCTGTTTGGATGCTAGACGTGGTGGGCTCAGGGCACAGCCTCCACTCCAACTTTTGTTAGAATCCAGGGGCTACAGGAGTGTGTTTGTCCGTGCCTCCATCCTGTCTGCTTCCATCTTACATTTGCAGGCGGGCCTGCTCTGTCCTGTTGGGAGGTAAGAGGGCACAGGCAGGAGGAGCTCATGTCCAGGCACCTCTCTTGTGGTAGCTTTGGCCTTGGTTACTACTGCTGGCCTTTGTCTTGCTGGCAGGCAGTGGAGCCTCAGGCAATCCGAGCACAGACTAGGGAGGAAATGGGCTTGATTAGAGGGCTTCTGCACCTTTCATTAGCCAGCTCTGGCTCCTCTACTGTGTTCAGAGGCAGTTTATTGATCTTACTCTTATTGGGTGGCAGCTTTGCCTTGTTTCCTCTGACCCAGTGCAGCCCTGGGACAGTCTGTGCTTATGATCTCAGGGTGTGTGGGGAAAAGCAGAGGGAAGAAAGAAATTTTTGTTTATGAAGTTAAAATCCTGGGATTTTTCTAGAACACATGATTTTTGGAGGTGGCTAGTATTCTGTGCTGCTGGAGAGAAGAGCTGGAACTGCCCATACAGCTCTTTGGTAACCTTTAGTCGTGCCCCCCCCCCCCCAGGGAGAGTGAATAGAGTGGCATATTTCAGGGCTAGTGGGCCTTTCCTGTTTCCTCCAGGAGGGGAGGTCTGTGACTAGCAACATTGTCGTCACTGTGAATGGAGCCACTTGAAAGGTGCCCCTGACTAGGGCTGCAATTAACAAGTTATCAGATGTAACCTCTCCCGCCCTAGAAATTGGATCAAAAGAGAGCTTGCGGTGGAGACAAGGAACCCTTACTGTTTTTCATGTTGTTAATTTTTAGTGGGTAAGTGCTCTCCTGTTCATGCAGTGGTCTTTCATGTGGCTTTGCTTATTGGCACTGGGAACAACGCCCATGGAGTTCTTTATACTCATGGCCCTAGCCTGCTTCTCATGGTAGGTACTAGAGTCCTTGCCATTGGGGTGTTCCATAAACTACTCAGGGATGTTTTATAAAGGCATGGGTGTGGGGTGTAAGAGTGAATGTCTATCTTTAGTTTGCCATGGCAGCACATGCCTGTAATTCCATCACTAGAGCCTGATACTAGAAGATTGAAGCAAATTCAAGGTCTCCCTGGCTCACAAAACACATGAGGAGATCAGATCTCTAAACAAAACAAAGCCACATAGTGAAATCTTGCGTGCGTGCATGCGTGCATGCGTGCTTGTGTGCGTGTCTCCTCAGGCTCTCATGTCAGTGAGTTTTTGTATCATGCTGTATTATGTCTGACCTTGCTGAAACTGAGCAATAAAATAGAAGGTGGGTGGGGATTAGAAAGATAGGTTTATACTAAGATATGTTTTAAAGCCAGGAGTGGTGATGCACACCCTTAATCCCAGCATTCAGGAGGCAGAGGTAGGCGAGTCTCTGAGTTCAAGGCCAACCTGGTTTAAAGCAAGTTCCAGAACAGCAAGGGCTACACAGAGAAACCCTGTCTCAAAAACCCAAAAATAAATAAATAAAGTAAAAAAGAGAAATGTTTGGTTTATCATGTTGAGATGACAGCCACTGCCTCCAGGCTGTGTCATGATTACAGGGAGCCAACTCTGTCCCCAGCACAGGAATGACCTGTCATCAGTAGACTTCGATGATGGGTTTCAGTTCATCAAATGTTTTCATAAAAAATAGCCCCTCTGCCCCAGGACAGTCTGTTACTGGGAGAGCACAGTGTATAAATAAAGCAGTGGATTACTGAGGTGGCAGGTGACACCTCTCCCTCCCAGGCCTTTAGCCCAGTACAGACAGAAGTGTGTGGCAGTATTCTGAGGACTGTATGAGTGCAGTGCCACTCCTAAAGACCTGAAGAGGGCATCAGATTCCCAGGAGGGCGAGTTACTGGCAGTGTGGGGACTGGGAACAGAACTCAGTCCCTTGCAAGACCAGCGAGTACTCTTAACCAGTGCACCATCTCTCCATCTCCAAGAGAACAGTGTTTACTGTTGGTTTCAGGGCACTTTAGACCATGGCCTCTTTAAAAAGCAACAACTGACAAGTAAACACATGAGAGCCAGCTTTTTCTTGCTGCTGCTTTTCTTCTGGAGTCATTGGCATGCTGTTTGTTCCATTCTCAGACTTTACCTCTGACATGTTCCTAAGGTCTAGTCCTAGATTAGTTTTCAAAATTGTCAGCTATTAACAAATCACATGTACAGCTGGAAGTCTTTTGTCAGTAATGGGAACAATCTGGGTTTGTTTTTATTTACTTCGTAGTATAGTTCAGTGACTAGGGAAATATTTGTATAAAAAATGTTAATGTTAGTAACCCTTTACTCAGAACATTTGGAAATTAAAACCCATTTTTGGATTTTTATCATTATCCCATTGTTGAAATGAAAGGGGTCTAGATCGTCACATGAATGAATGTGGTGAATGAATATGAGTTTGTGTAGATTATAAAAGAGATTCATAGCCAGGCATGGTGGCACATTCCTTTAAGCCCAGCACTTAGGAGGAAGAGACAGGCAGATCTGCCTAGTCTACAGAGCAAGTTCCAGAACACAGAGAAACCCTGACTTGAAAAACCAAAAATAAATAAATAATAATAAATAATAGTAGATAATAAAATAAAAATCAAAGGGATTCATTAGAATGGCTTACACCATAAGGACTCGGTAGTCTAACCGTGGCCATCTACACTGGAGAAGCTGAGAACACTAGCTGCTCAGCCCACAAAGCCAGATGCCTTAGCAGTCCCAATCTAATGCTGAAGGCCTGTAAGATTCCTAGAGAACCAGTGGCCTTCAGTTCTGATTGAAGGGCCAAAGAAGCTGGGGTCTGATGTCAGCGAAGGGTGGAGGCAGCAGCATCAGGGGTGTGCACACTGATCAGCAATCCTAGCACCAACTCCCAAGTGCTAGGAGTGTCACTGTGCCCAGCAGGAGGAGTCTGAACACTGAGTCTGTCCATGGTGTTTAATCATGATGGGCTCTGGAACCAACCAGGAGATGCACCTCTGAGCATTTCCAGAAAGGGTTATCTGAGAGCAGAAGACCATCATAATGGGTGGTGCCCTCCAAGGAGAGACCCCTATAAATAAAGAAGTCAGAGGAAAAATCAGTATTGCTTGCTCCCTGCCTGCCAACTTGAATTCCATCCCTGAAACTCACAAAATAGAAGGAAGGAACTAAAAGGTATCCTCTGACCTCTACACGGGTGCTTTGACAAGTGTGTAACCAACACACACACACACATACACACACACACACACCCCACATGTGTAAATAAAAATGTGCTGTTTGTTGCCAGGCAGTGGTGGCACACGCCTTTAATCCCAGTACTCGGGAGGCAGAGCCAGGTGGATCTCCATGAGTTTGAGGCCAGCCTGGTTTACAAAACGAGTTCCAGGACAGCCAAAACTACACAGAGAACCCTGTCTTGAAAAACCAAACAAACAAACAAAAGTACTGTTTTGTTTTAACTTATTTAATCTTAAAACTAAGATAACAGTCCTGTTTATTGAGACTATAAATGATTTTTGAGAGAGTGGTGGGATTGTAAATCTTCTTATTGTCTTGTGACATTTGGCTGTTACTGCCATGAAACCCCTGTGGGTTTGACCTACCCACATCAATCATTAATCAAGGAAATGTTCTACAGATTTTCCTATAGGCAGTCTGTTGGAGGCATTTGCTCAATTGAAGTTCCTCTCCCCAGACAAAATACTTGTTTAGCACTGATTCTTTATTTGCTCAGGGGATCTTATTAACCCTAGAAATAGAATCCCTGACTCAGTGTAGATGCTCTAGAGATTTTTATGCAGATTAAAGAAGACTGTATCTTGAGGGGCTGGAGAGATAGATCAGTAGTTGACAGCACATACTGCTCTTACAGAGGATTCAAGTTTAGTTTCCAGCAGGGGCCTGCAATTCTAGCTCCAGGGGAGCTGATGTCTCTGGTTGCCAAGGGCACCTATACTCATGTGCACATACACACACACACACATTCTTACACATAAATACTTAAATATATCTTAATAAATAAAAATAACTGGGCAGTGGTAGAGCATGCCTTTAATCCCAGCACTTAGGAGGCAGAGGCAGGCAGAGCTCTGTGAGTTGGAGGCCAGCCTGGTCTACAAAGCAATCCAGGACAGCTAGAGCTGTTACACAAAGAAACCCTGTCTATAATAATAATAATAATAATAATAATAATAATAATAATAATAGATTAAATAAACAAATAAAAATAAAAAATTGCACTCTTGTTTGTCCCATTGTGTGGAAGACCCGTGGTGTTAAGCTTCAGTTTCTACACTTGACTGTGAAGCCGTATCACCAGGTCTCAGATCAAATCCACATGCTCGTCTGGAGGCTTTACAAAGTTGAACAAATGCAACATAAAAGAATGCAATGCATCTTTGCATTGTTAAACAAATATTCCACAGCATAAATGGATGTAGTACATCTTAAACTAATATTCCACAACATTTCCCCCTTTTTGTCTAGATAAAAATTAAAGGTTCTAACTTAAACATAGTAAAACTAAAACAAAAACAGTTATCAAGTAAGAGTTACATTTACAATATTCAGCCCATTTGTTTTTAGCAAATTCAGAGAAAATAGTCCTTTATCTATCTTTTCTTAGTGGTTCCAAAGTTTATACCCAGTTTACCTCCTGTCTTAACTAAGGGAAACTATAACTCTTAACTATTTAGTCTTTAATTCCATCAAAGACCCCAGAAGGTTGTAATATTACCTAACAAGAGAGATATTTGGCTGCCTGGACAGTCACCCAAAGTTCCTCTGCTGTGTTGGGGCATCCATCTTCAGTCTATAGGCCTAGAGTATCTGGCAGACTTTTCAGTGAAGCAGGAAATTTAAAGGACTGTCCTTCCTTGTATTGGCAAAGTTCATCAATCACTTCCCTCTGTGTCCTGCAGAATATCTGGAGACTCTCCTGTGAAGCAGGAATCTTGAAGGACTGTCCTGTCTTGTCTTTGCAAAGTTCAACAGTCTTTTTCCTGTGTTAAACTTGTTCAGTCTGTATAGAATATTGTCAGCAGTCAAGGCAAGAGCAGTTTCTTGCCCAAATGGTTAGGCTTGCCACATTGAAAGCAAACTCCATGTGGAGTTTTTTCAATGCCCATCAACCTTTTGTGAAGTAAATTGGTGCTGCCAGGAGCAGATGTGTCTCATTGCCCTGAAAAACCTTAGGTTATTAAACATCTTTTTTTTTTTTTTTTTTTTTTGGTTTTTCGAGACAGGGTTTCTCTGTGCAGCTTTGCGCCTTTCCTGGGACTCACTTGGTAGCCCAGGCTGGCCTCGAACTCACAGAGATCCGCCTGGCTCTGCCTCCCGAGTGCTGGGATTAAAGGCGTGCGCCACCACCGCCCGGCTATTAAACATCTTAAATGCCATATTCTATAGTCTTTGAAGTGTTTGAAAATCATCTGTCTGTCTAAAACATACCTGTTTAACCTTGAAAACATACTTAATGTGACTACAAGTTTGATTATTATAGATTAATTACTAACCTCATTTCTTAATTATACATTACATTTTTAAATGAGCTGCATAAGCACAATACCCCAAATAAGAGTAGAAACATATATACAGTATAACAAAAATAACTTTAAATTTCTATCAATATACCAAAATCCATGCCAGTGCAAAATATCAGAGATTAATAATTGTCTTTTTATCTTACATTCCTATATTCCCTAAATGATAACAAACATCCGTAACCCACCAAATAACCAAAAACCACCTACCCCACCTCTTGGGAATGTGGGTGTTGTGTTCTCTAGACTGCTTCCTGTTGTCTGTGGGTGGAGGCATCTTTAGGAGTCCCTGAGAAAATTGAGATGATGGCCAAGTCCTGGGAAGACCAGTTGTAACCTTTGTTGATATATATCACCTGTCAAGATTCAAGAGGTCTCCCTCAATCAAACCTGATCCACATTAACCCTGATAGAATCCACAGCCGCTCGTTTTCTATGGAAACAAAAGCAAAACCTCTTCCCCAATGTAACACTTTTTTTTACTTCTTTTTTAAAGTTAAGATAGCCCTCAATATCTAGATTGGTTCAATTTAGGAGTCCAGTTCACAGTCCCATGTCTGTTAGCTGCTGTCATTTGCTTACCAGCCTTCAAAAAATTCAGTATCAATATAACATTATACAGCATCCAGACTCCCTGTGTATTTCCCACCTCTACGTGGCTTATTTTTTTTGTTTGTTTGTTTTTTGGTTTTTTGTTTTTCAAGACAGGATTTCTCTGTGTAGTTTTGGTGCCTGTCCTGGATCTCGCTCTGTAGACCAGGCTGGCCTTGAACTCACAGAGATCTGTCTAGCTATGCCTCCCGAGTGCTGGGATTAAAGGCATGCACCACCACCACCACCACCACCACCACCACCACCACCCGGCATCAGCAGAGCTGCTTAAATGAGCTGTTTCCAGTTTTTGTTTGTTGTTTGTTTTGTTTTGTTTTAGCTTTCTCAGGCCCTATGTGGAAATTCAGGTCCCGCATTGGAATGCCAAAATGTAGTTGGGTTTTTTTTTTGTTTTGTTTTTTTTGTTTTTTGTTTTTTGTTTTTTTTATCTCTTTTGGGGCCTGCAGCCCAGCTCTCAAATAAATACATGGAGACTTATTCTTATGAATGCCCAGCCTTAGCTTGGCTTGCTTCTAGCCAGCTTTTCTAACTTAAATTATCCCATTTCTCTTTAACTATGTTTTGCCTCTGGGCTTTTGACCTTTCTTTATATCTTTCTTTCCTTCTTACTCCATGGCTGGGTGGCTGGCCCCTGGCATCTTCCTCTCCTTTTCTCACTCCTTGATCGCTCATCCCTAGATTTCTCCTCCTATTTATTCTCTCTGCCTGCCAGCCCTGCCTATCCTTCCTCCTGCCTGTCAATTGACCATTCAGCTCTTTATTATACCAATCAGGTGTTTTAGACAGGCAAAGTAACACAGCTTTGCAGAGTTAAACAAATGCAACATAAAAGATTGCACACATCTTTGCGTCATTAAACAAATATTCTACAGTACAAATGAATGTAGCACATCTTAACTAGTATCCCACAAGTTCTCTTAACTGCTAAGCCATTTCTAGCCTGGTAATTTTTTTTTTTTCATAGTCCAGTATTTTCTGATCCCTAGATTTTGGGACAAATTACTTTCACCATACTAACAATGAGATACCCAGTGAGGAATTGGGGGAAATAGCAATGATCATTTCAAAACAGAAACTCTAGAAAAGTAGGTTCCTATCTATGAGATATTTGTCATCCCATCATGGGCCAAATTTCTTACTTTTTTTTTTTTTTTTTTTTTTTTTTGATAGTGTTTCATGGAGCCCAAGCTGGTCTCAAACTCCATGTGATTTAGGATAGGGTTATAGTCCAATAAACCCATTCTAAGTGTGAAGTACATGTAATATACCTGGCCTCCCAAACACCCCAGCACAGCACCATAGAGTGATGTGCAGTGCCCACCATTCCCGTGGCCAGGAGACTGACTGGGAGCTGAGGTTCACTGCATTCTCACTAGCCTATAAAAGATGAAATTTCAAAGGAGGATTTCCACTGACTGTTGGCTACAGCAGCACCATTGTAAAGTTAAGCTAAGGTAAACTGGGACCTTTTGAGATGGATACCCAGCCCATTCCACTTTCCAAAGATAGCTGAGTAACTTTCTCTGTTGGTTATGAAGATGTACAAATCAGTAATGAGTCTCTCAGACCTGAAAACACAGCCTCTCTCCCCTGTGTGACATTGGTTCCCTCCTTGTCCTTCCAAGGAAAGATGACCTGGACTAGCGTTATGAATTGTATGTTCCTAAATCCTAACCATAGTGTTGATGCCTTTTCCTAGGGTCCTATCCTTCCCCCAAAGCTGGAGCCACACTAGTCGTGTATAAGGACTTGCTAGTGCTATTTGGTGGCTGGACAAGGCCAAGTCCCTATCCCTTACACCAACCAGAGAGATTCTTTGATGAAATCCACACATACTCACCATCTAAAAATTGGTAAGTCACAAAGACAATACATTCTATATCTGGAAGAAATTGGTTTCATTGTATTACATTTTAGTTTTTGTTTTTGGTTGTTTTTTGTTTTTGTTTTTGGTGTGTGTGTGTGTGTGTGTGTGTGCATGCTACAACATGTATATGGAGGTCAGAGAACAACTCGAGGAGCCATTTTTCTCCTTTAATCATGTGAGTCCTAGGGATCATACTCAGATTATTAGACTTGGTGGCAAGTGCCTTTGCCCATCAAGCTATCTTGCTGGCTCAAAAATGGAGTTTAAATCAATTTATGTTTTGTGTGTCAAGAATCCCTTGGAGGGGCTGGAGAGATGAAGAGAGGACCAGAGCTCACTTCCCAAGTACTCAGCTCCAGAGATCCAACACCCTCTTCTGGACTCTGGGCATCCCATCCCCCACCCCCAACACACACACACACACACACACACACACACACACACACACACACGCACACGCACACGCACACGCACACACACACACAGCATATACTCACATAGACACACATTAATATTAAAATAAATATTTTTAAAATTAGTAATGTGAAACAACAGAATCCCCTGAAGAGCTTGATGGAAACAAAAGTTCTGTCCAGGTGGAGAGTGCACAGCAGGAGCTTGCTTCTGGTTTGAGATGCTTTGCAGTACCCTTTCCTCAGGAGAAGAAGTAGAAGAGCTCTGGTTGTCTCTGAGGAAAGTGGACAGGCCAGTTGGAGAAGGCCTTCTTGGTTTCAACAGTTCCACTCCAGGAGTACAGGAGCAGTGTGCACAGGGGGACCTCTGTGGACTGCCACATGCTCAGACCAAGCGAGTTGTTTCTCAGACATGTCTATCTTATTTTGTGTTTCTGGTTTTTTGAGACAGTGTCTCTCTACATAGCCCTGGCTGTCCTGGAACTCATTATTGTAGACCAGGCTGGCCTCAAAAGTCACAGTGATCCTCCTGCCTCTGCCTCCTGAGTGCTGGGATTAAAGATGTGCACCACCACACCTGACAGACATGTCTGTCTGTCTTTCTTTTTTATTTACACTGATGTTTGGCCTACATGTGTGTCTGTGTGAGGGTGTGAGATGTCTGCTAGAAAGGTGACGACAGCCTGTCTTTCTTAGTGGATGCCACTAATCCTTTGTGCCTTATGCTTTCAAGATGGCTAGGTAGTTCTGACTTTTGCTTCTTCCCTCTGCTTTCCACTAGGTGGAACTGCATTGTCACCACCCATGGGCCTCCTCCCATGGCTGGCCACTCCTCCTGTGTGATAGGTGACAAAATGATTGTCTTTGGTGGCTCTCTAGGATCCCGGCAAATGTGAGTATTTCTGATTTGCTAATGTAAAGGTAGAAACTCCTAGGCATACCAGGCCAGGAAAGTGAACTAGGCACAGCATATCTCTGAACACAGTTCTCCTCACCCTAGTTAGCTACTTCCCTCCAGCCTTTAGTTCTTTGGTCTCTCCATCACCAATCACTAGGTTGAAAATCTGCTCCACAAAGTCAAGGTTAAGTGGAATTTCTTTCTGTTTAATCCAATGGGATCAAGTTCTTATGAAGCCTCCCCCTTTTCTACTGTCTTGTACCTATAGAAGGTCACCTTCTAAGAAGCGGGATGCTCTGTTGCCCAGCTCAGGCCCTCCAGGAGAAGAGAGGTATATTCACAGGATAGGTAGAAATAATGCACTCTCCAAATGGGATAGGAGATTGGGAGAGTGAGTTAGAAACAAAACTGTCAGAGAGGCTGCTCCCCAGCCACTGCCTTCCTTATCACTGCCCATCCTGTGAAGTCCAGAGCCAGAATAGCAGCAGTTCATCTGCATTACTGGTGTGAGTAGGAACCACAGGAGTTTTCTATATGTTCTGAATAAAATGGAGAATTGTTGAGCCATCAAGAAAGCAGACCCAAGCTTGCTCTCTGACAGGACTCATGGGCTTTGTGTTTTAAAATAGTCATAGAGGGGCTGGAGAGATGGCTCAGTGGTTAAAAGCACTGACTGCTCTTCTAGAGGCCCCAGGTTCAATTTCCAGCACCCACATGGCAGCTCACACCTGTCTGTAACTCCAGTTCCAGGGCTACTGACACTCTCACACAGGCATACATGCAGGCAAAACGTTAATGCACATAAAATAAAAATAATAAATTATAAAGAGGCCAGCCTAGTCTACAAAAAAAAAAGTTATGGAGGAATTCAGGGTTATCATAGGCTACATTTAAGGCCAACTTGGGCTATATGAGAACCTGTCTTTAAAAAAAAAAAAAAAAAAGAAGGCGGCAAAACAAAAATGTAAATTAAATATAAAATATTTATGGAGAGAAACAAAAAAGAAACTGCACCCCAGATGAGAGGGTTTAGGGTTTAAGTTTGGGATTACTTACTTTGTATCATTGTATGTAAGTAAATAGAAGACCTTAAAGAGATAACCATAAACTAGAGACTGCCAGCCAGGAGTCAGTCCTTGCCGCAATTCCTTCTTTTTCTTTTTTCTTTTTCTTTTTTCACAAAGTCTTGCTTATAGCTAACTCTGTCTGGCCTTGATTCATGCAATCCTTGTCCTTACAAGTTCTAGGACTGCAGTGGGGTGGAGAGGCGGGATGTCCGTGCCAAGGTCATACTACTTCTTTCCTTTGGCAGGAGAGGTTGGTGTTTTGAGACAGGATCTCTCTGGCTGACCTGGAATTTATGTAGACCAGGCTAACCTTGAATTTACTGCTGTCTGCCTGTCTCTGCCTCCAAACCAGCACTGCTGCCTTCTTGAGTTGAATATAGCAGTTGGTTCTTGATAAAACTGAAGCTTTTAAGCCAGGTGGTAGTGGCACACACTTTAATCCCAGCACTCAGGAGGCAGAGATAGGTGGATTTCTGTGAGTTCCCTGACAGCCGGGTCTACTGAGCAAGTTCCAGGGCAGCCAGGACCGTTACAGAGAGAAACCCTGTCTTGAAAAACAAAAACACGAAGCTTTTTTTTTTTTTTTTTTTTTTTTTTTTTTGGTTTTTCGAGACAGGGTTTCTCTGTGTAGCTTTGCGCCTTTCCTGGAACTCGCTTTGGAGACCAGGCTGGCCTCGAACTCACAGAGATCCGCCTGGCTCTGCCTCCCGAGTGCTGGGATTAAAGGCGTGCGCCACCACCGCCCGGCCAAAAACACGAAGCTTTTATGAACCACTGTGAAATACTCTGTCGCCATGATCAGTGGAGCCTTTTTTAGCTCCTGCACCGTGATAAATGCCTTCAGGATCATTTTTGTCTCTCTTGTGGTTTTTGTTTTTGAAAGGTGGTCACTTGACCAACTGCCTCCTGCTTGTACTTTGGGTCCAACATGTGGCTGCACACACTCAACTCAGATAAGACCTTATGGCCACAGAGAGGTGAAAGGTTGAAAAGGCTCAGGATGGGTTCAGTGCTGAGCGGGTGCTGACACCTTTATAATGTAAATAGTTTCCCCGGTTCTCTGGTGCGCTCGCGCTCTTCTCTCTCTCTCTCTCTCTCTCTCTCTCTCTCTCTCTCTCTCTCTCTCTCTCTCTCTCTGTCTCTGTCTCTCGTTTTGTTTTGTTTCCCAAGACGGTTTTCTGTGTAGCCCTGGCTGACCTAGAACTCATTCTGTAGACCAGGCTGGCCTGAAACTCTGGCCTCTGCCGCCCTGTACCTCACCACCCCCACTAGGGTTAAAGGCATGCTCCAGGCCGGGCGGTGGTGGCGCACGCCTTTAATCCCAGCACTCGGGAGGCAGAGCCAGGCGGATCTCTGTGAGTTCGAGGCCAGCCTGGTCTCCAAAGCGAGTACTAGGAAAGGCGCAAAGCTACACAGAGAAACCCTGTCTCGAAAAACAAAAACAAAAAAAAAAAAAAAAAAAAAGGCATGCTCCACCCCGCCTGGCATATGCCTGGTTTCTGTCAGTTCTGAAGATCAGCAGTGTTTGTTTCATAGGAAAGGAAACCAAAGGTAGAGAAAATAAAGATTCTTGCTAAGGCTACAAAACTAGGGTTCAGCCACGATTTTTTTCTTCTGAAGCCCCTGGACTCCGAGGAAACCATCTCTGAAGCCTCCAGCCCAGACAGGCTGTGTGTATGAAGTGGTGTAAGTTTCCCCGCTGGGCACAGGCACAGAAACTCCCAGGCACCACTGTGCTCCCTGGAGCTCTCAAGTTCCTTATGACTGTGTTCTTATCTCACAGGAGCAATGAAGTCTGGGTCCTTGACCTGGAGCAGTGGGCGTGGTCCAAGCCGAACATCTCTGGCCCCAGTCCTCATCCACGAGGTGGCCAGTCTCAGGTGCTAAAGAGTTTAACTATTGAGCAAGCACTGTATGTAGTTAGTATCTTTATGGGAATGAGATGAGGTACTCTGTGCAGTAAGCCCGAGAATTTCTCTTTTTCTTTTTTTTTTTGGTCCTGTTTGTTCTCAGCTTCTATTGCTATATTATTTATAGTGGCCTTAGTGGGGTTTTATTTCTTAAGAGAATTCTTCATTTTCTGTGATTAACACTCTTGTGTTAATATTTTCTTAAGTTAGAGTATGTCTGTTCAAGGGTCATCAGTTCAAAGGGCTAGAATTGATGTGGGTTGAGTAGAGTGGGCAGCTGGAACGCTCACTGGGAGCTGGGCATGCCATTTGTGTATGTCACTGAATCATGAGTCAGATGCCTGTGTCTTTGTAGGTTTATTTTAAATTTCTTCATCTTCCCAGATTGTTATAGATGATGCAACTATCCTAATCCTTGGCGGTTGTGGCGGTCCCAATGCTGTGAGTATTGCAGTGACTGCCTCAGTGACTGGAAACACGCTTGTCCTGCTTGTTTAGTAAGATAGAGTCCTCCTTGGGCATGCTGACTCAGAGAATGCCCTTACACTTTGAGTAGATAGCTTTTGTATTTTCTGCCCTTTTCTCTGTTCTTTTTTTTTTGGGGGGGGGGGTGGAGGGAGAGGTACTTTTGACCAGAAACATTGGTCTCTTACTCATTCCTCAATTCCTTCTAGCTCTGTTTCTTCCTTAAACTACAAAGTTTGCCAGTAAAGGGGGCAGTGGGGTAGAAAACAGGTAGATAACCAAAGTCCACATGGAATTTACTTGAGAATGCAGACTGAGAAAGTTAATGGATATATTATCTCTTCCCTGTGTGCGCACACACACACCAGTTACAGTTGATGTATGGGTCACCATTCCATGTGCCAGGACAGTCAGTGGCCGTGTGTGAGTGAATGGAGGTAGGGGTCATAGATGCAGACAAAGGCAGATGTGAGTAGCTGAGGATTTAGGATGTCTACCCTGCAAAGCCCACACACTTTCAACCAGGTAGCACAGCTCTAAGATGATAGTTCTGTCACACCATGAATAAGTCAGTGTAAAAACAGTTGTGGGACAGCGGTTATGTGTGTCGGAGCACGTGCCAACCCTGAATCCTGCCATTGGTCCTCCTCCTGCAGCTGTTCAAAGATGCCTGGCTGCTGCACACGCACCCAGGTCCCTGGGCCTGGCAGCCACTCAAGGTAGAAAATGAAGACCACGGTGCCCCGGAACTGTGGTGCCATCCAGCCTGCCGGGTAAGTGGGGAATGAGCAGCCAGCAGAAAACTAATTTGTTAGACTTACGGAAGGAGAAACCAGTTTGGTGTCATGTCCTCTTTTAGTATTTCCCATGTCCATGAGCTGCTTGGTCGGAGCACGTAGGTGTACATCATTTTCCTTCTAGCTTTAAGGATCTGTTTGTCTACAGAACGTCCCCAGGTCCCTCACACAGATGCCCCTCTCCCACAGCCATGGCTGATGACAGCACCTCACACGGTAGCAGCAATCATCCTTTTCTGCCTGCCTTCGTAGTCCAAAGCCACCGTTCCTTTATCTCCACAGCCCAGGCCTACGAACAGCTGGCCATCCATTCCCAGTGACCATGTTAGAGATAGTTGCTAGAATGATGAGAACTGTAGGCAAGGCTGTGAGCACAGGTCCTTTGTCTTCCAGGTGGGACAGTGTGTGGTGGTCTTCAGCCAGGCTCCTAGTGGGAGAGCACCACTCAGCCCCAGTTTGAACTCTCGCCCATCACCTATCAGTGCCACTCCTCCAGCCCTGGTTCCGGAAACCCGAGAATACCGCTCCCAGTCCCCAGTGAGGAGTATGGATGAAGCTCCTTGTGTTAATGGCCGCTGGGGAACACTGAGGCCCAGGGCTCAAAGGCAGACTCCCTCAGGTTCCCGGGAAGGGAGCCTCTCCCCAGCCAGAGGAGATGGCTCTCCCATCCTCAATGGTGGAACCTTGTCTCCAGGAACAGCAGCTGTCGGGGGTGCTTCCTTAGACAGCCCTGTACAGGTGGTATCTCCGGGCACTCCATCTGCCTCTGAAGGATATGACCTAAAAATGGGACTTTCTCTAGCCCCCCGACGAGGGTCTCTGCCAGATCAGAAGGACCTGAGGTTAAGTTCCATTGATCTGAATTGGGACCTGAAGTCCGCTTCCAGTAGTAGTCATGTGGATGGTCCAGACAGCAGGACAGTTGCAGGGAGTGTGAGACACCCTCCAGAACAGACCAATGGTGTTCATACCCCACCACATGTGGCCAGTGCCCTTGCAGGGGCTGTATCCCCCAGTGCCCTGCGTCGGAGTTTGGAAGCCATCAAAGCAATGTCATCCAAAGGCCCCTCAGCCTCGGCCGCACTAAGTCCTCCTCTTGGGTCTTCTCCAAGCTCCCCTGGGAGTCAGAACCTGAGCAGTGGAGAAACAGTACCCATTCCCCGCCCAGGACCAGCCCAGGGAGATGGACATTCCTTACCCCCCATTGCCCGACGCCTGGGCCACCACCCTCCACAGTCCCTCAATGTTGGCAAACCCTTGTACCAGAGTATGAACTGCAAGCCCATGCAGATGTATGTGCTGGACATTAAAGACACCAAGGAGAAAGGCCGGGTCAAATGGAAAGTATTTACTAGCAGTTCTGTGGTCGGACCTCCTGAAACCAGCCTGCACACAGTGGTACAGGGCCGAGGAGAGCTTATCATATTTGGAGGGCTCATGGACAAGAAGCAGAATGTGAAGTACTATCCAAAAACAAACGCCTTGTACTTTGTGCGAGCAAAGAGATAATGTGTTCAAAGTCCTTTCCTTTCTGTGGCTTTTCATTTGGAATTTTCCAGTGTACAAGCATTTGGACTGAGACTTGGGAAAACAACGTGCTCCCGCAAACCAAAACTCCAATTCCACGCCTAACTCACTCCAGGCTGGGGTCAAATCTCCATTAAGGAAAAGATTATATATAAATATATACAGATATATTATATAGCCAACTCTGTTTACAAATAAAGGTGAGATCTCCGTCCTGGTTCAGATCAGCTGTTGCTGTCTTAGCGGAGGCTGTGCTGGCCTCTTCTGCTCTGCGATAACCGGACCAGGAAGTGAGGGACAGACTGACAACAGTAACTTCCCACAAGAAGCAAGCTGAAGAGCCCCGTGATCTTTCTGTGGCCTTCTCAGACAGGACCCCAAGGAAGAGGCTTCAGACGCTGTGCTGCAGGATCCAAGTCCCTTACAGAACACAGTTCTTCCCTGTCCTGTTTAGACCACATAGGACCTGTGACAGCTCTGCAGAAGCAGCCTGTGCCTGGTCCTTCTGTGATCCAGAGACATCACCCAACAAGAAATAACACTGTTACCTGTATGCTGGAGTCACGGTGAAACAATGTTTATAGAGCCGCCATCCGTCTGCCTCCTTCCTGTCCGTTGGTCTTTTGAGTTCTCCCTATATGTCTCAGCAAACATGCAGTGTCTGATTATGGGATTTTCTGACAATCGTGTTTGGTTGCAAGTTGCCAAAAAACCATATTCTTTTCCTTTTAGAATTGGGTCCTCAGAGGCCTCTTTTCGGTCTGTAGGCTGCCCCCTGTCCTTTGGTGGTTTGCTTTGGTTCGGGATGTTTCACTTTTTGTTTTGTTTTGGGCATCTGACCTTTTTTAAAAAGCATCTGTTGCTCTTGCTTCTCTTACAAAGCTCCAGTGTCTATGGAGTCGATGTTCTCGAGCCTTCCATCGCCAGGGGCCAGTATCCACCGCAATGTCGGGGCACACACCTGTGACCCTCACACTCGAGCAAAGGCAGGATGATGGGGCTAGCCTGGGTTATATGATGAGACCCTGTCTCAACAAAACAAAGTAAAATTAAAATGCCAGTATCGTTTTTTTAAAAAAAAATCTCTGAAGCATCAAAAGATACCTCTTCCTCCCTCGCCCCACTCCACTCCCCCAAGGCAGGGTCTCACTATGTAGCTCACAGAGATCCTCCTGCCTCTGCCTCCCAAGTGCTTTGAGGAAAGGCATGTGCCACCAGGCCCAGCTCAGAAGATTGCTTTTTCTGTTTCTTTTATCTCCACATTACACTGGGCACACCTATCCCTATTAGTAGAATGTAGGAGTTGATCTTACAAGGGAATCTGGGAGCAGTTCCTTCCAGAAATGGTCTTACTGTGACACACCTTGCTGTGCTGTTGACAAGTGGCTGGTTTGAGAACCATGTCCTTGACCTTGGAGATCCATGTTGACCTGGGAGCAGCTCCGTCCCTCATGTTGTCTTTTTCTTTTGTCCTTCAAACAGGGCTTCGGTTTGTACTTTCACTCATTTCCTAGATAAAGTACAGGCACCCAGGAGAGTGTTGATTTTGTTCAGAGGACAACGCTGGAAATTACTAGTCTTTAAACAGTAGCCTGGACATAGGAGACATCAGAATAAGAGTATTTTAAATGGCTGTGCAACTGTGGATTTGGGTGGTTTCTCATCAGTGGTAAAGGATTTTTATTTTGCCTTTAAAACCAAAATTGAAACAACAAAGAGTGTGTTCCCGAGCCCCTCTCTCTCCCTTTCTCTTGTCTCCCAGGCACAAGGCCCTTGCTGCTGGCCCGGGTCCTGGCTCTCAGCCAGCACTCTGCATGTCGGACAAGGGCCTCCTGCTTCGTGCTCGGGCCTCCCTTCGCCTTCCCTCCTTTGCTCTGATGGTCCTGGCAGGAAAGTCTCCCTGTGGAAGCCCAGGAAGGGCCGGCTCTCGAGGAGAGGCATGTGCTCTGGAGCTGCTCCCGGAACACCCCTGTGCCTACTTCCTGTGTCCCACCGCTCCAGCTCCCTGCCCTGTTGCTTCCGACAGTCCTTTGGCCAAGACTGTTTGGTCCTGTGGGGCCCTGACATAGAGGCAAGGCCAGCAGACGAGCAGCCTGGTGTCACTGACCCTGGCTGTGGTGTGCTTGCATGTGGACGGTGCCTGTGGACTTGCTTTCTACTTAAACATCGAGTAGTCAGACACTTGGAAGTTCAGAAGCTCCACTTTGTAGTCTTTCTGTTTCCCTTGTGGCCTTCCAAAGCTGGCTGTCAACTGTTGATTCTTCTGCTTTTCCCAAGTAGGCAGATAACAGAAACGTTAACCTCTTAGAACTCCGGGGTCCTGGGGCTGCCCTCACTGCCGAGAGCCAGGTGTCTACAGTCCCTCCCGAGAAAACAACGAGCTTTGCCTGCACACAGCAGGGTAGGACTTGGTGGTCCCTGAGCACTGTGGATGTGTGCTGTGGGAAAGTGACTCGGCAGTGAAGATGGTGGTCTCAGCCGCGTGAGACTGTGTGTGTGGCAGGACTTGCGGTGTCTCCACAGAGGGCAGCGTTCCCACAGCACTGTCAGTTCAGATTTAACCACAACTCCTTTTGTTGACACGATACCAATTTTGTCTTAAAATTCGCTGAGAGACATGAGACAAAATATTTTGTTTGAACCCTCAGGAGCACCTAAAGCAAATATTTATCAGTATTTAAGTATTTAAAAATACATCTTGTTTCTACTTGAAGCTTTAACCCTTTCCATTCCTGCAAGTGTGCCTTTGAGAGCCCTTGGTCATATTAACTGCAGTTACTTTGCTGGCCTCGTGTGAGCGTTCTGGGCACTGCTCTGCTCCTGCACAGAGCTTCCTGTTCATTATCCCACACCATGCAGCAGAGAGCATTTGTTTTCATTCCCCTGTCCGCCTTTCTTCCTTGCTTGGGGTGAACAGGTCACAACCCCACCTCCCCCCACATTGTGGGAGCACCAATAAGGTATAGAAACAAACGTCAACTTTGTTTAAGATAATGTTGGGGTGTGCTCTCCTCCCAGCCCTCTGTGGCTTGATTGATTTTAAGGTTTGAGCAATAGCGAGAACTGAAGCCATGAACTGTGGAAGAGCGCCTTGGAGCCCCTTAAAATGCAGAAGAGGAGAGGAAGGGGCGTTGCAGGAAGGCTCAACTTTGAAGGACAGAAAGTCACTGACAGCGGAACAAGGGGGCCTCCCTTCCTTTACCATTCTTTCTAGGTTTATTCTGCTTTGCTTTTTCCCTTCTTCGAAGTGAATCACCTGCTTGGTCTGTCCATCTGTCTGTCCTTGTCCTCATGGTGACCCCAGCATGGTGACGGACTCTGTTATCTGTAGTCTCACCAGCGCAGAGGACGGTGGGAAGATCTGAAGGGGCCGGGGCCAGGAAGCCTGGCCTCAGTACTTCATAAGGCATGATCTGCTGTCACCAGCAGGTGACACCACCGTCCTTGTGAATGAAAGCCAGCCTCATCAGCTCCACTGTGCTCGCTCTGCTCGCCTGCCCCCTCCTACTAACCAGGGCTCATGTCAGTGTGCACCCACCGTGCCCTGGCGAAGCTGGTGCTGTGAGTGATGTTTCCCATACAACTCAGGGGTGCTGGGTGGCTCACCCTGAAAGTCATTGTAGGCACATCACAGTGTAGGAATGAAAATGGAACCCATGGATATTTAAATCTGTCAATCTCATTTTTGTTAATGTTTTCCCCTGATGACTTTTTAGCAGTTTAACAAATAAAACAAAAATGCACTGAATTGTCTTGACTTTTATTAGCACAGGAAAGAAAGGGGAGCGGAATCCCTGGGATGGGGGGCAGTGGGAGGAAACAAGTTGGTTGGTAGGTTGTGTTTGCTGAGAGGGAGTGTTGTCCCTGTCCCCACCTGAAGGACTCGGCGTTGCAGATCTTCATTCTCACCCTGAGATAGAGACCCAAGGGAAGTGAGGAGCGTTATGCAGAGGACCAGGATAGCCTTTGCATCACAGTGACCTAAGCAGAGGTGGGGCAGGACCGTGGGGTCTTGAGGCAGCACGGCCGCTAGGGGCTGGATGCTGCTGCCCCTGTTTGCTCCTCTACCCTGGAGTACAGCTCTTAGCTGGGGGATAGTTGTTTCCACCCTGTGGGATCAGGAGGGTATACTGCAGGTGTAGAGGAGCACACCAGCATTGTGCCTGGCGTATGGTAAGTTGTCACCCACGGAGACTCCTGCAGGCCCAGCACGGTGCTCCGCAGCCAGGGAGGCCTGTAGACCAGGACGAGAGACTGCAGACTCACCCAGGTCACTACCTTGAGTCTATGCCTTTACCTTCTGGGAACCTGAGAAAGGTCCCTAAAAGCAGTAGGCCTGGAGCACCCATGGGTCTGGCAAGATAAGGGCACCACCTCCAAACCTAGCAACCTGGCCACATGACTGGGGCTTCCCCTTGCTGCTTCTCTCCCTCCACCCCAGAGGACAGTATCTCTTACCTGCATTGGCCTTTCTACAGTATTGCTAGGGGATGAGTGTGGGGGGGATTGCTGGGAGTGCTTGCGAGGAGACTGATGAATTGCTGAGGAGGAGGTGACAGCTGGTTCGTGCATCAGATCAGGAATGAGCTCTTCATTCCCCTTTGACTCTTGAAACAACTCGGCTCTTTGGACTCGGAGGGACTTAGAGGAGGGGTTATAAGACAGGCTTTGAACCAAGATGGACTTGGAACCCGAGATGAGCTGGACAAGCCTTCTCACGTCTTTGAACCTCAAGCTTTGTCCGTAAAGGGACAGTGTTGGGAAGCCATCCTCTAGCAATTTAGCTGGAACCAGGCAAGGCTTAAGCTTTTGAATGGACGTGCTTTCCCGACTGGCCACTTGGGGGCGCGCTGGGAAAGGCTTTGAATGAGTCTGTGTGTGCCCTGTCCAACGCAGCAGGGGCAGCGACAAGATGGCTTGCCCATTGTTCCTCTTTCAGAACCCTGGTTGGCCCTCCCTGACTAGCCTGCCTCAACTTCAGAGTGCCACCCCCAGGCTAACCCTTGCAGGCCCAGCACAGCCCGCCCCAGTGTTCTCTGTTCCAGCCCCCAGCTGTGGGAAACTTGGTATCTCTCTGAAGCGGGGCTCTGGGATGCAGATGCTGTCAATATACACAAAGCCAGGCTGATGTCTTTTTTTTTTTTTTTTTTTGGAGCTGAGGATCGAACCCAGGGCCTTGCTCTTGCTAGGCAAGCGCTCTACCACTGAGCTAAATCCCCAACCCCTCAGGCTGATGTCTTAAGACCTAGAAGTCCTAGCATCATATTCTCTCCCAACCAGAGACCCCACCTGCCTACCCCGTGCAGGAGAAAAGGAGGGTTGCTGCAAACAAGGGAGACGTGAACTGTTGCCCGTGGAAAGGGTGGCACTGACCTAAGGATCCTTGATTCTCAACAAGCACCTCTTGAACATTTACTGACTCTCACCCCCAGGCAATGGGACCCCCAAACAGTGGCTACACTGGAAAGTCCCACCCCGGCATGAGTAATGTACTCCCCCAATTCTACCCTTTAGTTAATTTTCCTCCTATATACTGTACTTCCTGAGACCACATGCAGTTGGGGCACAATTACAATTGGGTGGGGGTGCAGAAGGGAGTGGGTGGGACCTCGGGTAAAGGTCAAACGTCCCTCACCCCTCCTGTGAGGGACTGTCAGCAGGCCTGTCTTTTCTATAGTCACAGGTACCCTGATTAGGCTAGTCATGGCCGTCACTATTGGCAGCCTGTTCCAGGACAATGTGATGGCCTCAGTTCATCCTCTCCGGTGTGGCAGGAACGATCACAACCTGAATCCCCAATAGGAGGAGAAAATCAGAGACGAGACCAGCACCGAAGGGCTCAGTGCAGAGTTTCCCTGGAGCAAACTCTTTGAGAGGTGGCCTCTGAGTGGGCCATCATGCTTCCCTGGCATTTGAGTAAGCTTCCTCTAACACTGAACATGAGCCCCAAGGCTGGGGGAGCTGGAGACTTAAAAAAGAGGCTGGGCACTTGACAGACAGAGGCAAGTGGATCTCTGAGTTCCAGGACAGTCAAGGCTATGTAGGGAGACCCTGTCTCAAAAGACAGCAACAATAACAACAATGAGGGCGGGGGAGAGAGAGAAATAGCTGAACTAGAGTTTACCTGGAAATTACTGAACTAAAATGACTGATTCAGGGATAAATTAAAATGAGACAAGAGGTCAGGCGGTGGTGACGCACACCTTTAATCCCAGCACTCAGGAGGCAGAGGGCAGATGGATCTCTGTGAGTTCGAGGCCAGCCTGGTCTACAATGTGAGTTCCAGGACAGCCAGGGCTACACAGAGAAACCCTGTCTTAAAAAATGAAAAAAAAATAAAAGGCTATTTTATTCTGATATCTCTCGCTCTGTGTGTGTGTGTCTGTGTCTGTGTCTGTGTGTGTGTGTGTGTGTGTGTGTACCTTCGTAGAGGAACATGTGCCACAGTCTAAGGATAACTCGTGGAGGTAGGTTCTCTCCGTCTATCATATGGGTCCCAGGAGTTCCCCCTCCCACTGTGTGGGCCCCAGGGATCACAGGTCATCAAGCTTGGCAGCAAGCTCTCCTACCTGCAAAGCCATGTAGCCTAACTGACCCCAGGAGGCTTCAGAGAGACAAGTTTCAGCTGAGAGCTGACTGGAGAAGCTGGTCGTGGGAAGATCTTGAAGAAAGAGCAGGCCATGTATGCGGGGCATCAGGAACAAATGCCTAGGGTGGTGTGAAGTCCACACACTGAAGGAGGAAAAGGCAGTGTGGCTAGCACATCTGAGTGAGGGGAGGGTGGGCTGGTGGGCCTACAGGCTGTGGTGAGGGAGCAGAGTGGGGTAGTCTAGATGCAGAGAGGTACCACTCAGTGCACAGGAGTAACGCACCCAGGCGGAGCATGCCAAGAGTGGCCACCTCTGTTTCCAGCTCCCTGGCACTGGGGCCCCCAGCTCTCCTGTCAGTGCTTGCCACTTCTCAGCCTGTTTAAGGTTTTCCTCAGCCCAAACTTGTTGCTGTTATGACTGGGTGGCAGCCAGGCTCCTCCTCTGTCTGTATGGTTGACGGTGCCCAAGTGGCCAGACCACTCACATCCTACACCCCATTGGCTGTTGTCACCTCCAGATAGTGTCCTCCTGGCCCTCTTTCAGGGACTCTTCCTCTGATACTCTGGTCTGCACATCCTTTGCCTCTCAGGGGAACCACTATCCATCCAGTGGCTGGAGAGACACCATGATGTCAGGCTGGTACCATTGACTGGGCAGGTTGTACTTTCAGTTTTGAGAGTGACCTGAAGGAGGCTGGTGGGCCATGTAGGAGGCCAAGCAAGCAAGAGTCGGGTGAAGACTTGCATATTGCTGAGCACACCTTGAGCCAAAGAGAGGGAAGTGACTGCTGCTCCAGGCGCACTAGGGGCCAGGAGAGGGTTTGAGGCTATGTCCCTAGCTGCCCCACCCTCAGGATACTCAGGCAGGGCTGTCCACTTCTTGCTTTTAACCTCACCCCAACCAGCTCAGGTCTCTGTGTGCCCGCCCACCTAGAGCTCCCATCTACTCCAGGCGGGTGATACGTAACTGCCTTGAGGACTCCTGCTCCCCTCCCCCCCCCCCCCCGTGGCCTTGTGGTGCCCTTGTCCAGGGGTGCTCAATGAATGTGTGCGGGGACATCAAACTGTGAAGAAGGGAGTAGATGCACTAGAAGGATCCTTAGAGAGATGGCTCGCCTGCTTGTCCTTAGGTTTAAAGAGAGAAACAACTTCCTAAAGCTGTGGGGAGGGCCGAGGGCAGTGACGAGTGAGTGGTTAGGGGACACAGCAGAGTGGAACCCAGCACACTAAGATAGTCCGCGAGTTCCTGAAGCTCAGCTCTGAACTTGTCATCCTCAGCCCCTGGGTTGGTGGGCTCCCTGTCCCCAGCAGCGGTGTTTATTTAATCAAGGTCTTGGGCCCTGCTGCAGACTGACTTGTGTTTTCTACGACATGTTGAGGCCATGCTCTAATAAGGCTATATTTGGAGATGGATCCTTTAGGAGGGGGGTTAAGATTAAAACAGGTCAAAATGGTGGGGTCCTAATCCAACCAGATAGTGCCCTCACACAGTGTACCAGTCAATGCCGTTTAGTCCCAGCACTCATGACAGCAGAGGCAGGCATCTCTGTGAGTCCTAGGCTAGCCTGGTCTACATAGCAAGCTCCAGGCTAGCCAAGGCTGCATAGCGAGGCCCTGCATCCAAACAAAAAACAAAAAAACAAAAAAGCAAGAAAGAGAGTGAGAGTAGCAGAAGCTGGTGTGGCAGTGCACACTTAGTTTTTTGGGTTTTGGTGGTGGTGGTTTTGTTTTAGGGTTTTTTGTTGTTTGTTTTTGGTTTTTGGTTTTTGGTTTGTTTTGGGGGTTTTTTTGGGTTTTTTGTTTTGTTTTGTTTTTTGAGGCAGGGTTTCACTGTGCAGCCCTGGCTGTCCTGAAATTCACTCGATAGACCAGGCTGGCCTCTAACTCAGAGATCCACCTGCCTCTGTCTCCTGAGTGCTGGGACTAAAGGCGTGCGCCACCACTGCCCAACTGGTAGTGCATACTTGTAATCCCAGCACACAAGAGGCTGAGACAAGAAGATCAGGAGTTCACCAGGCCAACCTGGACTACATATTGAGAGCTCACCTCCATAAAGGAAGAAAAGAACAGGGTATTGAGCAAAGAAGAGGCCATGTCCAAATGTGGAGAAGGCAGGGGCACCAGAAACCAGCCCTGCAGTCAAGTTGGAGATGCAGCCTTTGGCTGTGCGGAAATTCTCTGCTGTCTGAGCCCCCAGTCTATGGCACTAGCAGAGCAGCACGGTGCATATGTTAGATGTACAGACACACATCTCCTTCTAGGCCCTGAGGTGGAATCTCTTTGTGCTTGCAGGCTCTATGTTCCCTGGTGAAGCTGGGTCATCAAGTATCTTTCCCCGAGCTCAGGCAAAGCAGTGAATACTAACCTCCTCACCCTCTGGCCACCAGCTCCCCTAACCACCAACCTCCCTGTCTGTGCCCAGGATGACGTCTAACCAGCTGCCCCACCCCCAGGTTAACACCAGCTCACTCGGCCAAGGTGCTGCATTTTCTCATCCCCTCATGGAGCCTCCCACAAGCCAGACCTGGGCAAGGTTGCCTGTGAAGTCTAGAAGCCCAAAGACAATTCAGATCTGAGCACTCCTGGCCTGTGGAGAGAGCTGTGCACAGTTATAGATGAGCCTGACTGTGCAGACCCCTGAGCACTATAGAAGGAACCCAGGAGCGTGAGCAACGGATTCCAGCCACCACAGAGTCCTGTATAAATGGTTTCCTCTGGTACTTCTGCCTCGATGCCACATAAGCCAGTGAGGGAAACGCCCTCTCTTGCACCCTCCTCCCTTCCCTACCCAATGAGACACAAACCCCTCTGCCTCTTGAGGGTATGCAGCCCTCTTCCTAGCCTCACTAGCCCCTCCCAGGTGCTAGGGTGAAGTGCTGAATACCCAAAACCCAATCTGCCTGAATAGATACATGTGTTCTTAGAGTCAGGTAACCCAGGCCTCTGAGTCTGTTTTTCCACTGACTAGCTGTGTGTCGGGTGTAACCTCAGACAAGTCATGTCATTCCTCTGAGTTTCTTCATCTGTAATAGAAAAGACATAACGCTGTTTATATGGAGATGAATGTCCATAGACTCCGGTGCAGCAGCCCTCACAAAGCCCCCTTAACTCATTCATGGCAAGGCAGTGGCTGGCCCTACTTGAAGTCACTGTACAAGATGCTGGTACAGAATAAACGTAATAGACACCTCTCAGGGGTGGCCCCTATGTCCTGTCCAGCCCACAGGCATTTACTGAGCAGCCAACTTCTGGGTTGCTCACAGGCCCAGGCTGGAGCATCCAGTCCCGGGGCAAGACTGTGGCTCACCCTTGCTCCCCCAGCACCAACTTGATGCTGAGCACACAGTTGGGGCTTGGTCCCTGTTGAATGAAAGGAATGAATAAATCAATTAGTAAACAAGTGACTCTTTATTCAGACCTCTTACAAAGTCCCTTGACTTCTCAATCCAGAGGTGTTTGATGCTGGACCTGCTGAGCAGGATTGATGGGGCCGTGACATTAATAACATCAACATAATAACTAAATCTGCTGAGCTGTGCTACCCAGACACTGTTGTAAAGAACGGTATGTGGGGGAGGCGGGAGGCGTGGTGGTGCACACCTTTAATCCCAGCACTAGAGAGACAGAAGCAGGAGGATCTCTGTGAGTTCGAGGCCAGTCTTGTCTGCATAGGAAGTTCCAGCTCAGCCAGGGATACATAGTGAGACAGTCTTTATTAAAAAAAAAAAAAAAAAATGAAGAGGAAACCGAGGTACAGCGAACTGAGGAAGCCTCCTTCCTGGGGAAGATGATCACGTTTGAGAGGAAAATCTGAGCCCAAACTGGTAAAGCCAAAGACATCCAGCTGAGGGAAGGAACTGCAGACCTTGCAGAACCCACAAAGACCGGCCTGAATTCAGGAGCCCTTCCTCCCCCTGCGTCGCCATGGCAACATTCTGCACATGCGCTTCGCGGCTGCGCCTAGGCCTGGCGGAAGCAGGCTCTGCGGGCAGGGCAAGAACACAGGGCGGGCTTTTAAAGGGATAATCCTTCCTCCTGCCAGCCTGCTTGCACGGACTGTGAGGTTGGTGTTCCCGGGAGTCAGAGTCTAGGAGGCAGAGGTGAAACGTGGCTGTGAGACCCTGGAAAGGCGATAAGGCAGAAGAGGATTGTGGAAATACCTTCCCAGGACAAGGATGGGCTATTTCCCCAGAGAGCGATGTGGGGGTGTGGGGCTATGGAAATGCACCTTCGGGTGGGGAGCCAGGCTCCAAGGGAGAGCCAGAGGGAGATTGAGAGGAACTACGGGGCCAGCTTGGGGTAGTCGTTACCCCTCTCTCCACTTCTGCTCCCAGTATTCTGCTACATCCTAACCTCAACCTACAGCTTCAACCATGGCCAGACCTCCCGTGCACGGTTCGGTGATTGTCCCAGACTGGCATGAGACCGTCGAGGGCAAGGAGTACTTAGCCTGCATCCTGCGCAAGAATCGCCGGCGGGAATTTGGTAAGTGCCTCCCCTGAACACACGCCGCATGCCACACGTGCACTCTTGACACTGCGGCAGAAACAGGACAGTGGGACCTGCCCCACGGCAGTCCTCACCATCGAGGTCCCCTGGGTGCCATCTCTCTAGGCCCCCTCCCCCAAATGTCCTTAGAACTAATTCCACCAACAGAGCCAGGACCATGGAAACAGCCCACTGCTGCCAACAGCAACTGTCACCAGAGACGTGGGCTGAGCCCTCCTCACCTGGGGCCACGCCCTCTGCGGGGCGCTTTGCACAGTGGTCCCCGGTGCAGTCCTTTTTTAGACAGGGTTTCACTATGTAGCCAGAACTCTTTATGTAGACCAGGCTGGCCTTGAACTCACAGAGATCCACCTGCCCCTGTCTTCCAAGTGCTGGGATTAAAGGCCTATGCCACCATTCAACTTCCTTCTCTTTCTTTCTTCCTTCCTTCCTTCCTTCCTTCCTTTCTTTCTTTCTTTCTTTCTTTCTTGGGAGGCAGGTGGGTGGGTTTTTGGTTTTTTGGGGTTTTTTTTTGAGACAGGGTTTCTCTATGTAGCCCCTGGCTGTCCTGGAACTCACTCTGTAGACCAGGCTGGCCTCTAACTGAGAGATCCACCTCCTGGGTGCTGGGACTAAAGGCGTGCGCCACCAGGCCGGGCCTATTCAACATTTTTAACAGCACATTTAAGAGACTTGTTTAGGGTCACACCCTAATAAGCAAAGGAGACCCCTTCAGTGTCTTGCTGTCTAAGGTCAGACATTGGTGTGCCCAGGATTAAGCCAGATTACCCAAGCAAGGACAAGAGGCATAGCATCTGATTTTAGAGTCCAGCACCATCCACCATCAAGCTTCAGACCAAAGCTACTGGAGAGGCTGAGGCAGGAGGATCACAAATTCAGGGCTTGCCTGGGCAACACAGCACGATTCTGTCTCATGGGGGTTGGGATATATGGTAGAGCTGTCACCTAGCATGCCGGGGGCTGTTCTGTCCCTGGCACCACTAAGAAGACAAGAACAAAGACAGCTCAGACTTCAAATCATCAGACTCCAGAATAGCACCATTTTGACTTCTTTTTATGTGCAAGTTTTTTATTATTAAATATTCTTTATGTGTATGGGTGTTTTACCTGGTGTAGGTATGTGCCCCACATGCATTCAGTGCCCTCAGAGGTTAGAAGAGGAGGACAGATCCCCTGAGGCTGGAGTTACAGATGGTTGTGAAATACCATGTGGGTGCTGGGAATGGAGTTCCTGTCCTCTGGAAGGGCAACTGGTGCGCTTAACCACTGAGCCATCTCTCCAACCTCTGTGTGCAAGTTTTAAGAACTCATAAAGCTCTCAATGAATTGGTTTTATGGGATTTATTTCTAGTAGCTGTAAACACTTTTGCTTATATCACTCTTAAAGAAGAAATTGTAAAACACCATGTTTTTGTGTATGAGAAATCCAGATTGAATAATAGCAGTATCAATAAAAAAAATATTTCAAAGCCAGGCACACACCTTCAATCCCAGCATTTGGGAGGCAGAGGCAGGCAGATCTCTGTGAGTTCGAGGCCAGCCTCATCTACAAAGCAAGTTCCAGGACAACCAGGGCTACACAGAGAAACCCTGTCTCAAAAAAAAAAAAAAAAAAGGGGGGGTATCAGGGGCTGGAGATGGCTCAGCAGTTGAGAGCACTGGCTGCTCTTCTCAAGGACCCAGGTTTGATTCCCAGCGCATCCTGGTGGCTCACAACTGTCTGTAACTCCAGTTGTAGGGAATCCAACACCTGCTTCTGGCCTCTGCAGACACCGGCACACAGAGGATACACAGATGATATACATGCAAGCAAAACACCCAATGTTTTGTCTGTGTGTTACAGCAAAATGTGCCCAGAGGAGTGTATGTCATCCAGGCCCCCAGCAAAGATCTAGAGCAGTTGACAGTTTGAACAGATCAACCATGAGATCCTAGGCTGTCTCTGTGTATTCTTGGCCTCTGTAGAGCTGAGCTGAGGACCAGGCTGAGGACCAGGCTGGCTAGTTAGCTTAGATATAGGGTATCTCTCCCAGGGTCTGAGCAAGAGCAGAACTAACTCCCCAGTTCCCTGGCTCCCTCCTTGCCACAGGGTTGCTTGAACGGCCAGTGCTACCCCCTTCAGTGGCCATTGATACTGCCAGCTACAAGATCTTTGTGTCCGGGAAGAGTGGTGTGGGCAAGACCGCACTGGTGGCGAAGCTGGCCGGCCTGGAAGTGCCTGTAGTGCACCACGAGACCACTGGTGAGTGGATCTAACCCTCAGCCTATCCTTGGTGGCCTTCCATGAGATGGAGGCAAGAACCTGGCCCCAGACCGCATTAGCCGGGGTTAATTATGGCATAAATATAATTATGCCAATTCCTCTGTGATCTTGGGAAGTCATGTTGTTTGGATTGGTACTAGAGACAATGGTAGCTCCCTGTCTCGTGTCTAGTTAGTATAAAGGTAGGTGCTTAAGACCAGCCCATCCCCCGTTATGTTTCTTTCTGATCCATCATATGTCCCAGAACCTTTGAGGTCTCCCTATATAAGCAGTGAGACCTCTTTCTTGTGGCGTGGGTCAACTTGGCATGGTCTACCAAGGACTCCTACAAAGCAACACTGTTCCTTATGATCTGAGGATTCTCCCAGGTCAGAGACCATGCCTTCAGAGTGATGACGCATGGGATGGAGATGTAGCTCTTCTTCATACCCCTTCCAAGCCACGCCCCCCCATCCCACTTCTGAATGGCTGATCCCAATTCTCCTCAGGTATTCAGACCACTGTGGTGTTTTGGCCAGCCAAGCTAAAGGCCAGTGACCGTGTGGTCATGTTCCGCTTCGAGTTCTGGGACTGTGGGGAGTCCGCCCTCAAGAAGTTTGATCACATGCTGCCGGTGAGCTGGGCAGGTGGGCCTAGGAGGGCTGTGGGTGGAGACTGTCAGAGACCCGCCCCATCCACAGGAGCCTGACTTGAACGTTAGTTACCTGAGGGCGGTGTCCGGAGCTGCAGGGCTCTGACTGGCATTGGGGACTGTGTCCCAGCCACTCTCTGCGCTGGGCCTCAGTTTCTCAGTCGGTGGAAGGAAGGGATGCTACTGATCCTTCTTGTAGTTCCATGGGTTTATGTGGTGACGTGTCTATGTGCCACAAGCCAGCCTCTCGGTCCTCAGGCTTGCAAGGAGAATGCAGATGCCTTCCTGTTCCTCTTTTCTTTCACTGACCGCGCCTCCTTCGAAGACCTTCCTGGGCAGTTGACCCGCGTAGCCAGCGAAGCTCCTGGGGTCGTTAAGATGGTTATTGGCTCCAAGTATCCTTTGAGTAGCCCAAGGATGCACTCTTGGTGAGATACCTGTCATCCTGTGAGGTCCAACCCATAGGTTTTCCTTAAAGGATATCCAGGACTTACACCAGCCCCTGGGTGTGGCCTCTAGAGAGGAGGCCAAGGCTGGGTCTGATGGAGTGGTAAGCAGAGCCTCTTGGCTAGGAGCCTTAACCCTCCCCCAGGTTTGACCAGTACATGCACACAGACGTGCCAGAGCGAGACCTCACAGCCTTCCGGCAAGCCTGGGAACTGCCCTTGTTACGGGTGAAGAGTGTACCAGGGCGGCGGCTGGCAGATGGGCGTACACTGGACGGGCGGGCTGGGCTGGCTGACACTGCTCATGTGCTCAATGGCCTTGCAGAACAGTTGTGGCACCAGGACCAGGTGGCAGCCGGCCTGCTCCCCAGCTCCCCAGAGAATGCTCCTGGCTGAAGGGTAATGGCATCCCGAGTAGGGACAGAGACTGATGATCCCCACTCCCATATCTTGAGTGACCCAGGACAGATGGTGGGACCTAGGGCCCAAGGCTGATGCAAGAACACAGTCCTCAGGACTGGCTGGGGAGGGCCCTCACCTGGCCCTCATCTGGACACAAGGCTCCAGAGCCGAAAGGTCTCCCAGTCCCACTGCCCCTCACCCTTCTGCAGCATCCACCGAGGGTATGGTGGTGGTGGGAGCACCTCAGAAGGACCCTGGACCTCTCTTGACTTCGACCAGGAGCATTACTGGTTGAAGTAACACCATTTGATCCAACAGATAAACTCTGAGATCTCAGTGGCTGAACTCTGTAGGAGTGGTTTTTCGCTCCCTGCACTTACTCAGACGCATGTTCCCGGTTTATTAGCATCCTGTCAGCAGACCTGGAATAAGTGTATGGCTACCAGAGGTTTCTGTGGACACACTGCATTGACCAGCACCCAGTCACATGGAATTAAAAGGGAGCCTGAGAGAAGTGGTTCACCTGCATATTCAGGAAGCTAGCCCTGCTCTCTGGGGACTCTTGACCTTGACTACTATGAAGCTATAAATCGGCCCTCAGACAAGGGCTTTGCCTAGGAGTTGGAAAACATCACTGGGCAGGGCCAAGGACCCTCCCTACTGAGTAGGGGATAGGATATGAGGTAGCTTGAACTAGCTGTCCTGTATGGGAGGAGGGTGAGCATAAGCAAGGGCACAGTGAAACCACTGATCTAGACCACTTCATGGGTAGAAAGAAAGGTTTACTGGGATCAGAATGTCAAGGCTATCTCTCAGTGGAGGGGGCAGGCAGAGAAAGTAGCAAAATGTTGGAAAAATAAGCAGATTGTATGTGACAGCAGGGTAGGATTTTTGAGCTGATACAGGCTGTTCAGATTAATTGGGAGCTAGATACCCAAAGTAGTTGACCTTTGGGGCAAATTAAGGGAGGTCCTAGTTAGCAGAAACCCAACTTAGGGGATTCCTGAGGAATCCCAAATTTGAGTGTCTGTTGACCCAAATTTGAGTGTCTGTTAAACCTTCTGTTTAGGACACTGTCACCAGCACTGCCATTTTGGCAGGCTACTTTGGACATAGCAGCGAGCAGATTCAGCTTTGTGTCATCCAAGCTCCCTCAGTCACAGACACCAAATGGAGGCTAATGTGGCTGATTTTAGTAGCTTTTGTTTGGTTGTTTTTGGAGACAAGGTTTCTCTGGCTGTCCTGGAACTCCCCTCTGTAGACCAGGCTGGCTTCAAACTCAGGGATTCACCTGCCTCTGCCTCCCGAGTGCTGGGATTAAAAGTGTGCACCACCACTGCCCGAATGATTTTTAGTAACTTTTATATTTGTATAACAAAGTGACAGAAGCAACTTGGTCAAAGAAGGATTTGTCTGGAGGCAGAGGCATGTGGATCTCTGGGAGTTCAAGGCTAGCCTTATCTATGTAGTGAGTTCCAGGACAACCAGAGCTATATAGTGAGACCATGTCTCAAACAAACAAACAAAAACCCAGAGTTCGGCTTCTAATGCAAAGGTTCACAATGTCCCAAAACAGCACATCTGTTTAGGAGGTGTTCAGAGAGCTGGGCCTGTGGGAGACAGTGCAGACCCAGGCTGTTACATTCTGTGCCTTGCCTCCATAGGCTCACGGCTGTCTCCTACTGAAAAACTGCATTTTGTCTAGTTTCAAGAGACCCTGTAGTCCAAACAGTCCCAGAATCAGTCATGTACATCTAACTTACAATGACATCGAGTCAGCAATTCCATTCCAAAAAGAAGGATGGGGGAGAGAGGCAGAAGCCCAGCATGGCAAATGCTAGCCCCAAGGCTCCAGGTCCTTTGTCAGGTGCCATGGGAACCCCTCTGGGCTTGCCCAGCTCCGCCTCCCCCATTTTACAGCACTCCCTCAGAACCTCTCTCAGGTTCTCTCCATTTGGTAACTACAGCTTTCTTCTGAGATGTCCCGTGTTCCTGAAATTTCCTGAGGTCCCCTGGAAGCCAAAGGTGGTGATCAGACCCCAGGTGGGATCAGGGGTTGAGCTGGACTTAGAAGGAATAGCTGGGGAAAAGGAGCCAATGGCCCCTCACAACTTGGGCCATTGGGCTTTGGAGCTCTGGAGAGCGCCGGCAGGCGGTGGGACTGTCTTCCCTTGGACTTGGAGGGTGCGGATGTATGTGCAGCCAGGTCCAGCCCCACTGTTTCTCCCAGACCCAGGACTCCCTAGGTCCCTTCTCTTGCCTCCTCACATCCTACAGATACAATGAGGCCGGAGCCCAAAGGGGAACAGGCAGTGGAGGTTTCAGAGATGCAAACAACCCTTGTGCTGATGGGTCAGGCTGCTCACTAGCTTCCCTTACCCATCTTGCTTCTACCCTGCAGGAGGGGAGATACCTTGCTGGGGGCTCCCTCCCTCCTTCCCCTTCCCTCCCCGCCCCTGCTCTCTTCCTCCTTTTCTTCCTCTGCCCCTGCTCCTTCCCTCTCCTGTCTCCACTCCCTCCTTGGCCATGCTGAGCCACTGGTCAGGTTCTTGCCAGTTGAGCAGCCTGGCCTTAGGATGTCAGGGAACATCCACAGCAAGGTACTGGGATACAGGACCGGATCACGCAGAGGGTGCTGGGTAGGCCACAGGAGACCATGGCTGAGTCCTGGGGCGGGGTGGTGGTGGCTGAGTTTTCTGTCCAGGCCCTAGACCTTACTACCTGGCCAGCCTGTGCCTGTCCTAACATTCACATGCCAGGTGCAGACTAGGGGGAGAGAGGAGTGTGCAGAGTTAGGAGCGGGGGCTAAGGGTCCGGGCGAATCAACAGAGGACTAAACTGAGGGGGTGAGATAAAGGATGGGGGCTGGGATGTCAGGGGAGTGAGTGCTCGACTCCTAGAAAAAAGTATGGGAAAGAAACTGAGGCCTACTTCAGGGTGGTCCAGCAGGAAGAGGAGGGAGACTGAGTGGCACTGGATATTTCAGTGGTCACCACATGCTCAGCTGACATGCTCTCCAGGGGAGGTGACAGCAGCATGCACTCTACCCAGGTTCAACCCTCCCAACACCAAGATAAGGTGCAATAGTACTGACTGTTGCTGAGGTCTTGTTTGGTTTTGTCTTAGAATATCTTCTGTTCATTGACAATGCTGTAAACGTATACGACGTATCTTGATCTTACCTGTCCCTGACTCCCCCTGACCATCCCCCAACACATCCCCATCTCATCTTCATGTCTTTTCTTTCTTGTAACCCACTGAGTCCAATCAGTGATGCCTGCTGGAATGTTCACTGATTTCGTTGGCTTGAGCTAGTGCAGGTAACCATAGTTACAGTGAGTCCCTGAGTGCAACAGCCAAGCCATGCCCAGAAGTCAGAATTTCACAGCCCTCCTCCCATCCTTCGGCTCCTACTGGCCCCACTTCTGTGTTGTTCCGTGAGGCTGGGGCTGGGCGCAGGGTCTGTATATGTGTCCTATTCAGTCCCGAGCATCCAGCCATCACTTGTTCTCTGTCATTTGATTAGTTGTGCATCTCTGCACTAACCGCTACCCACTGCAGAAGGCTGAGAGCAGCGCTAATCTGTGGGCAGAAACAAATGTTTAGAAGGAAGTTCCACAACATGTCCACTTAACAAAACAACAGTATAAGGCTCCCCGTGAGAGCCTCTGACCTCCAGAGCCTTTGACCAGGCTCACAGTACCAGACATGAATCCCTCCCTCCTCCTCTGGAGCAGACCTCAAACCCAGTCAGAAAGCGGTTGGTTACCTGGTTACTCCAAAACGTTCACGCCACTGTTGTACCAGTGCAGAGGCCATTCCTACAGTGGAGGTGACTCTTAGGCTGAGAGCCTGAGGGGAGTAAGAAGGGACTCAAGTCTGCCAGGAGACCTTCCTTATTCTGTCTTTGGCAGATAAGTGACAGTGAGTAGAGGGAGGGGTGGCCCAGCTGGGCTGCTCGAGCAGCTCCTGGCTTCTGCAGATCTGCCTTCTCTGGTCACCCATCCCTTCACACCTCTTCCGCCTGAGGCAATGATGACCTGCAGACAAAACCCCAGGAATGACCAGGGTCTCTGGGTACCATGGGGCACTTGTGTCCCATTTCCCAGTGGCAGCATTTTCTTCCAGGTGAGAGGCCTTCACCCCACCAAGGAGGCGGGAGTAGCGAGGGACCATCTCCCTTGAGCCGTCTCTCTCCCTAAGAATGCTGCAACACCTCCTTTCCCACTTCTTGGAGGGGTTAGTCCTGGGGGACCTGGTCTACCTTGAGCCCCACCTTCCCAGGAGCACAGCTGAGTGATGCTCTTGGCCATCCTGACCTTGCCATGAGGACCGCTGTTCTGCTAGGTACTGAGCCTGTGGACATGCTGCAGGTAGAGGAGGAGTGGAGTCACCTCGGGGGTGGAGCCTCTCTAGGTGGCTCAGCAGGTAAGAGCACTCATTGCTCTACCAAAGGACTCAGGTTGGTTCCCAGCATCCACATGGCGGATCACAAGGGTCTGTAACTCCAGTTCCATGGGGTCCAGCATCCTCTTCTGGCTTCTTCAGACACCAGGAATGTATGAGGTACACAACTGTATATAACTCGAATTCAAGGGGATTTGGTTTCTAAGGACACCAGGCACACACATGGTGCACAGACATACATGAAGCCCAAATACTGTATACATAAAATAATAATAAAATTATTTAAAAAAAAAAAAAAACTATGGTTGCATCCTGCTCATGACCTTGCTGTGTATGCTCATATGGGTCACACTTGATGATCCATCCACACCCCTCTCAGCAGCCTGCAAGTCCTTGTTCCATCTGGCTTTGACCGGTTCTCCCCGACTGGCACTACTGGATCCGTGAGTAGACACATTCACTTACCCCCAGTGCCTTGGTGCTGTTTTCTGCTGGGGTTCTCTCCACTCAGATTTGATGTTGATTTAGGCGTCAGCATTAACACCACCTTCCTTCCTAAGGGCTTCCTTGACCCATGTGATCCCTAGAGGCCCCGTCCCTTGAGCTTCGTCACAACATTTATCATTCCAGTTGTCTGTCTTCTGCCACTAGAATGAGCTCCCTGAGAGCAGAGACCTGGTGTGCCATGCCAACTGCTTTACCGACGGTGCCCAAAATAGTCTTTAGCATGAAGAAGGTTCTTAGTAAGTGGTTGTTGAATGAATGCATGAATCTAGCTCTCCGTCTATCCAGCCATCTGTCACTAATCCATTCCACGGTTGGTGTTTTCAGAAAGCAAAACCCACTATTTTAACAGGGAATTTTATGTAAGGCTTGGATAAATTGGCGTTGGAAAACTGAAAAAGCAGAAAGGGAATTGAAGTAACAAT